CCGCTTCTACTCGACGAGTCGGGGCTACTGACTCGTCGAGTAACCCTAAGAAAGGAAATTCAATATTTAAAATACATACCAGGAATGGGGCGTTACACTTTCTCTTTTCTTTATATTTCTCTCTTTCTTTCTTTATTTCTCTCTCTCTCTCTCTCTCTCTCTCTCTCTCTCTCTCTTTCTCTCTCTCCTACACAGTTCATATCTTCCACTTGGTTTTCACATGCAGAAAAATACGACCACCACGATCATCGACCGGAGACATGAATGCCACTAACGCTGCTGATTGGTACCACCGATCCTTTACAATGAGATTGTTCCGGAATATCATCATAGCTTCCTTCTCACCAGGATTGCAAATTAGGGCAATATCCCTTTCCAATTCGAGCATAACCGCATAGGGGTACCAGATTTCACATTAGAAAAATCCACCAACTTATTAATGTTACGAGAAGGGTCAGGAAACTCATCCATAACAACGTCAACAACAAAAGGGACAGGAGTCGACGAACTAGAACCGGATTTATCAAAGTCGCACTACCCTTCAAACTTGAAAATCGGTTTTCTGGGAATTTCTCTTTTGTATCAATCTTTTTGACAAGTAATGAAACCAATTTAGGTTGCAAAGGGTCGAAATGATGGTTAGAGGCGTCAACAGGAACCAACTTTGAGCCAACAGTCGATTTTGCACTTATTTCCCGTTTCAATGTAAAAACATCGAAATTCAGATATGGAAGATACCCTCTATGACAACGAACAACAACTAAATCCAAGGAAAGAGGAGAAAAGGCGGTTAAGAAGGAAAGACGAAGGAACCAAAAGACCTACCTGAAAGTCAACTACAACCCACCTTAAATCTTCACTGTCAGATTCTCCTTCTTGTTTTTCCAGCATCTCAGAACACAAATCGATTTTTATTTCGATACGAGAATACAAATCGATTTTGATATTTGTTTTGAGGTATGCGAATGGAGAGTAGCAAAAGGGAAGGGGTTGCCTTATTTTCAGTGTGTGTGTGTGTGTGTTTGAGGAAGATGATGGGTGTGTGTCTTGGGGAAGAAGATAGGGGTGGTGGTGATATTTTGTCTCGTAAGAGAGAGGGAGAGAGAGAGACAGGTATTTTTTTATTTTTCTTTTAATCATAAAAATATTTAAATAAACAAAAAAGAAATTAAAAAGTAAAAAACAAGGGTAAAATCGTCATTACAAAAAAATTTAAAGTAAATTGGACCAAACTCGCAACAAAATGAATACTTTGGACATGTGGTGCCAGTCCAAACCTTTTAGGACCAAAGTGACACTTTTCAACAAACCACAAGACCATTTGTGCAGTTTAGTCTTTGTTAATTCTTTGCTGATGTTAATACTTTTGACTTAAATGACAAAAGTGTTTCACATTGCAACATTCTTGACAACATTTTGTTTTTAGTAAGCTTGAAATTCTTTAGCCATTTGCTGCTTATTTACTTTTAATGAGTAAAATGCATTGACACATCAATGAGTTTCTCAAAAGTGGCTGTAACTTTTTTATTTAATATGAAATGTTTGTATTTAAAAAGAATAAAAGAGGCCACTCTACGAGGGAAGTCCCCGGGTCGAGTCTTTGCGAGTTCTTTAAGTTTTTAAAAAAATAAAGTGTGTTAGTGATGTTACTGTGAAATACTAAGACGAGTGGGTATGGGCCATAACGAGAAACGAAGTCGCTGACGTGGATGCCCTCAACACCGTCTTAACGGGGGGAACACCGCCCCCCTACTCGTTGCATCTCGTCGAGCAAGTCTCGTGGCCATCGCAACGACTTGATACGGGAAAAAATAACCGTTGGGGCTTTTATGACCGCTTGCAACGGTCAATATTAAAAAAAAAATTACATTTTTACCTATATATATATATATATATATATATACTCATTTTAATTCAATTTTTACATCTTTTTATCAATCTCTCTATATTTTATACACTTTCTAAATCAAAAAATGGAGCAAAATCCAAACACCCCCTCCATCATCAAACCCAAACATACAACCAAACACAACCTCGCCTCTCGGATTCGCGGGTTATGAAAATTATTTCAACCTTTTATCATTTCAAGGCTCACCACAAATCCCATACCAAGGCGCCGTTTTCAATCCCGCTTCACCGCCACTGCAATTTCCTAACTCACTTTACCTTCAACAAAATTTATTTGGTCAAAACCAAAATTTACAACAAAATCTTTTCCCTACTTTTGCTTCGATGCAACAAACAACCAACCATCGCCTACAACCAACCAACCATCGCCTACAATACAACCATCGGTTCAAGTGGAAGCGGGAGGTAGTAAGAGAGGGAAAGGGAAAAGAAAATCGAAAGGGAAATCGATAGCGGTTGAAACAGAAAATGCAGACGTTCCACAATGGTGGACACTAGAGGAGGAATATGCTTTGACGGCGGCTTGGTGTGCTACTTCAAAAGACGAACTCCGCGGAAATGGAATGAAAAAAGGATCTTATTGGGGGGCGGTGCTCGATAAGTTTCACGCTCTTTTAAAGAAAAATCCGTATCGCAACAATGACATGTTGAGCAACAAATAGGGTCAAATAACTAAGCGGTGCAACAAATTCAACGGTATTTACAACCGGCTTGAGGCGCAACAGCAAAGCGGAACCAACGATTTCGATTTGTTCAAATCTGCTAAGGAACAATATCGGGTCGAAATGGGACATGTTTTCGACTTTGAAAAATCATGGGAGTTGTTGCGAGCGAATCCAAGGTGGAATAAAACGCCTACATCGTCGGGGGTTCAATCCAAAAGGTCTCGCAATTCGAGCTCGGTCGACGTGTCGGACGCACGGACTCACATCGACCTAAACGCCGACACCGATGAGATCCCGGATGATATCGAGGAGATATCCCCACCACGACGACCGCCCGGACGCGACAAAGCGAGGCGCGCTGCAAGGTATGCGATGGAGGTTGAGGCGAAAGCAAAAGAGGCGGCAGAAATGAGAGCGAAATCTGATGAGCACTATTTGTTAATAAAAGAAAAAAATGACTTGAAACGTCGTCATTTGGAGTTCCTAGAAAGGCAGGCACGGGAGAAGCAGGAGCAAAAAGATAGAGAGCTAATGACACAACAATTGTCAATTCTTCGGACTAGCGAGGAGAGTTTGGCGCCTCAAGATCTAGCGGTGCTACAAGCCATGAATGATCAAATTAGAAAGAAGTATTTGAGTTAATTAGGATTTTAGGAGTAATTTGAATGATATTTTAGTTATGATTTTAGGTTTAAAATTATGTTTTTTTTAATTGTAATCGTAATTTTAGATTTTAAATATTATTATTTTTTTAATTTTATGTTTTATAAAAATATATTCATGTTAGTGATTAAAAAAAACACAAAAAGGAAAAAAACGAAAAAGTAAAAATAAAAATATCAAATTCGAAAAAAAAAATAAAAAAAAAGAATATTTATTCTCAAAAAGTTGGTGTTGAATCTTGTTGCCAATTTCCCTACTTGGTGTTATAACATCATTTGCTTATGTGACATGTGAGGTGACACAACTTGATATTGCATATTGTTGCCCCACGCCGATTGCTCTAAGAAAAATGTGGTAGCTAAGATGAAAAAATAAAAAATAAAAAAAATGACAAACATAAAAAAAAAAAATGATGCAACAGTATGGCTAAAGGTTCTCCCTTCAGCCTTACTGGAGAGCTCTACAGGTCCAAACCGCATTGTACGGTCGTATTTAATCCCCGGTCCGGTCCAATCGGTCGTACAAAATCAAGTGTTTGGGTTTCGCCTATGCGTTTCCTTCTTCTCCCCCCGATAATCATCCAAACCAAAATCTTCAACCTGATTGTTCGAAACTTCAATCTAACGAATGGGGCCTCCTGTCAGACCGAACAAGCAGTCCTTCGGTACTGCTAATGCTATTGGGAAGCAAAACCTATTCGAATCATCATCGGATGCCATGTTTAACAATCTATGGGTTGGCAATTTGGCCGCCGACGTTACAGATTCAAATTTGAGGAATCTATTTGAGAAACACGGTGCCGTTGATAGCGTTACCTGTTATCCGTCAAGGAGCTACGCCTTTGTCAACATGAAGCGTCCGGAGGATGCAAAAAGGGCCAAAGAGTCCCTTCAAGGCTTTGTTTTACGTGGGAGCGCGCTGAAGATTGATTTTGCCAAACCGGTTTGTATCGCCTCATTAGGTTTTCGTGGTTGTTCTTTCTTATTAATTTTTCGAGGAATGTTATTATATACGGATCCAAGTTTTGTATATGCTTTATTGATATATAGTTCGCACACAACAATTATCGTCTTTCAAAATCTCTTAATAACGCTAAATTTGAACAGGGAAAGGGAAATTTAACCGCGATGTTAGGGCTTCGTCTAGGGTTTCATGAAGATTTTTTTTTTCTCAAAAACAAACCATCAGTATGAAATTTTTATACGGTTTAAGATACAAAATAGGGATTAGAGAACACATTCAAACACTAGTGAAATAGTTTGATATAGTATCAGTTGAACAACACTCTATGAAGTGGATTTATAGGCTATAGCCAATTAAATCAGGACAATATTGCCTTTGTTTGCTATCTGACATTCTAGGCAGATCATATATTCGTATTATTCACAATCTGGCGCTATTAGTTTTACCCAATTTCTCAAATTTACAACATACTCTGTTGCACGATTTTGATAGAACTGGTGTTGGGATAGGATGCCCTCACCAATTTTATTTCTCCCTTGGAATCGATCAACTTGATCAATATTAAACCAATAACATTATGTTACTAATCCTGGTAAACTAATACAAAGAATTCCCATGGATTAGATATCTAGCAGCCTTTTGGCTCTGAGAACATATGTGCGATGATGAAGGAATAACATGATTATCTTTACCTTACTTAAACTTCTCACCTAAGTAATAAAAAGTGATGGGGTTTCAAGCCTTCATAAGTCCAAAGACGTAATCTACTATCTGTCAAAGGGTTCTGCTCATTATTTGACATCTAAGCAAGTTCTTTTTCATACAATCATGGAGGCATAACTGCAATACAAGGTAGACAGTTTAGTTGAATTAAGGCCCACCAAGAACTAAATGTTTAACTTGCAATCTAAATATCATTTAAATATCCTCACAAATCCCTGGCTAAACCAGAGGGGTCTACAATTTATACACTAAAGAGTAGATATTAATCACCTATATTCTTCTTAAAGTCGAGCAAATAAAGTTCTGTGTTTGATTTTTATTAAAAGAATCAACCAAAGAGTTCTTCTCTAGAAGGTGCTTATCTGACCGGGGTAAATGTTTGAACTAGTTGTTTTTAAAAGACAAGTATTAAAATAATATGCAATCATATTCAAGCGCTTCCTCATATCACTTGGAGAACTCCAGTTTTCTGGATCCCATATCTCATAACACATGGATATCTTGTTAGGGCCGCTTAATAGGACACATAGGCTTCCAACCAAATATGAAATAAAAGAGATTAGTTGGGTTTAAACTTGTAACCAGATGAAGAAACTATGCGACCTAATATTCGTTAGCCAATTATGAAATTCAATTAAGGTCAATTTGAAAAATGTTCTGCTCAAACTGAAATACACTTTTTCTTTGTTTTTATCATGTTGCTTTTAGCCTTATTTAAAACAAGCAAACGTTGTTATACACTTGAACACAAACTAGGTACCTATGATTATTTTTCCAATCTTATAGAAACTTAAAAAGTTGGGGGGTATTAGAAATCAATTTACAACCTTTTTCTGAGTTGACTGGGATGTTGAATTATGGATGAAATTGCAAATTGCTAGTCGACTTTACCTCCCATTTGAGTTGTGCTCGTCATTTCGCCTGTCTCAACTCTCAACTTGGAAGTAATTTCTCAAACCCTTTGTGTAATTGTACTGATGGAAAAGGAAAATTTGTCATTTTAAAAAGTAATTACCTTTTTATATATATATATATATATATATATATATATTAAGTTATTCAAATAAACTGTGTAATGTGTCAGCACGCACCCCGCTTAGCTAGAACGTCACTCAACTGCCTAGCTTATAATTACAAATTTCTTCAAGTTAACAATTAAAGCTGCTGGGGTTTTTATTCTTTTCAAATGATTTTTTCTATGCAAATGTGATAATGTGATATAGCAACATCCAATTTGTAAGAATCGTTCACCTTTATCCTTTTGTTGTCAATTGAAGCAATTCCCAGTGGGTTGTGACTTTGTTTGTATGATTGACCTTTTTATCAACAATATTTAAGCTTTCTTGTTGGACTACAAAACAAACTCCTAAAGTCCAACAAACGAACCAAATAGTTAAATACAACTTAATTTGGGACATGATCATTTTCCAGTTTCCTTTATACTGTAAACTGTTAAGTCTCTTTTAATCTTGTTCCCATTTTCTGAACTATATAAGTCCCAGTTAATCTTGTAGCTGTATAGTTATATTCTGAAGTACATATGTTTGATTTATCTATATTAACATCTATTTTATGCCATGTTGGTTTGGTGGCCCAACCTTTTTCCATGTAAGTTAATTTTATATATAAATAATTTGTTTATTAAATACAAACCCTTCTTAGGTGAATGATAATCGCTTTAATTAGTACACAACTGTTATCATCTTCTCTTTTCTTGTCACCAGAACGTATACCATGCGAAGTGTTACTCAACTTGTTACTTCTACTTAGTTTGTTGATTTCAAATCATAGCCACTACACATTTTTATTCTGCTTTTGAGGGCTTGTTAGAGGGTTCAATCGACTTCCCATATTTTAAAAATCTGTATAGTATCAAAGTTATCAATAACATTGTGATCAAATTATTGACGTTATATCATTATGTTTTATCAAACAGTTTTTTCTATTAGATAATTCATATGATCAGTTTTATAAGCTCTTGACATTTAGATTTTTCATTGTTGAACAATCATTTTATATTCAGCACTCATTCTACACAGAGGATTAAAATGATAATTTTCTATCATTGATACTTTTTATTCTGCGTACTTATCAAACAATACACACAGAGGGTAAAAATGATTCATTGCTATACAGTGTCTACTCTCAAATGCTAGTTCCTGAACGTAATCTACCCTCTTGAAAACATAGAGAAAAAACTCAATTAGGATGCCGTATCATTTGAACATAATCAGCAAAATAACAAGCCTAAAAATATAGTAGTGGTTTCAGCTTTTTGATGTTTGCTTGAAAATATACCAGTCTTTTATAGGTATTTAGGCTCACCTTTTTCTCCATGTTATTTTAGCTCTGAGTCTAGTATTTATCTTATTGGCAGGCTAAACCCTGCAAGAGTCTGTGGGTAAGTGGCATCAGCAGTTCCACTACCAAGGAAGATCTAGAGGAAGAATTTTCCAAATTTGGTAAATTTGAGGATTTTAAATTCCTAAGAGATAAGAACACAGCATACATTGATTATTCCAGACTAGAGGATGCATCAAAGGCTCTTAAAATGATGCATGGCAAGAAAAGAGGGGGATCTGTCATTCGTGTCGACTATCTAAGATCTCAACCCAAAAGAGTAAGCCATTGGTTCAAACTCCTCTGAAGTAAATACTAATGAATATTGTTAAAAAAATTGGAATGTAAGGGTAAAATGGTCATTTAGTTTTGTTGAGATGGTTTTATTCAGTCTAGAAAAGAAAAGTCTTTTATCTACACAACACTTTATCCATACAGACTTCATTGCCCATTCAACCACTTCACCCATACAGGACTTAATGGGGATTGTTACATTTCCACATATAAGTAACAATCCCTACCCTTTTAACAATATTCAAAAAAAAAAAAAGGAAAACAGGAAAGGAGCTTTTGTGGGTGTAGGGTATGCTCAACATGTATTGCATATTTTATCCTGTTTTGACTATGGCCTCCATATATGATATAACAGGACCAGGGTCCTGATTTCCGTGATGCAAAGGAAGGACAGCATTTCAGAAGTATGGTTCCACATGATTCACCATGGTTTCCACCAGATAGTGTTAAAAATTACCCTGATTCTTCATATTATGGTCCAAAAAGGCAACAGGTTATAACCTAGTTCTATTTATGCCCTTTTTGCATTTCTACAAAACTAAGGATATGATAGCATCTTTCTGTTTTTGCATTTTTGTTTATTGCAATTATGGGGTATTTATTTTTACATTTAGTCCAGTAACGGGGTATTTTTTTTTCTTCCAATAATGGGGTATTTTGGTCTTTTAATAAAAGAAAAAAAGAATGGAATTGAGTACCTTTCAGGAATTGTAATTTACAACCAAGCACAAAATGGAATGGAATCTCACATGAATTCTAATTTACATAATTTGTGGTGTTTTTACAGCATAATATATTGGGCATGGAAGGTCGAAAAGGAGACGGAGAGCAAGCAAGTAACGTTTTGGTAATATCATATCCTCCCATCGTTCACATTGACGAACAAATGTTACACAATGCCATGATTTTATTCGGTGAGATTGACGATATCACAAGCTTTCCTTCAAGACATCATTATCTTGTTGAATTCCGAAGCATAGAAGAGGCACAACTCGCTAAAGACGGACTTCAAGGCCGTTTGTTTAACGACCCCAGAATCTCAATCACGTTTGCAACCAATGACCAAACACCAAACAAAGATATTCCTGGATTCCACCCTCATGGAATCTTTAACGAACCACCACCACCACACTTGGATGCATATGTATTAATGCCAAATAGGCCTTATGTAGGAGGAGGACCTTTTGTCCCTCCAGACACCTTTGATCCTCCAGAGTTTCCTATGAGTATGAATATGAATCCAATGGGTGTCGGTGTTCCTAACTGGAGAAGATCTTCTCCTAATCCGTCTCCTGGTCCCGGGACATGGGATGTATTTGATGGAACCCATTTGCATAGGGAACCTAAAAGACTAAGAACTGAGGGTAATATACCTTTGAGAGATATGAACGATCAGGATCCATATGGTGGTGGTGGTGGTAGACATGCAAGTCATCCTGGTTGTGACTATATTTGGCGAGGCGTTATTGCTAAAGGTGGAACTCCTGTTTGTCATGCCCGTTGTGTTCCTATTAGAGACTGGATTGGATATGAGATGTAAGTGATTTTTCTTTATCTCTTATTCAGTAAAAATACTTGTTGGCTTGTCTCTTCTCTACATATATATATATATATATATATATATATATATATATATATATATATATATTAAGATGAAACAAGTAGTTTCAAAAAGAAGGGTTTAGTATGATGGAATGGAATGGAATGGAATGAACTATTCTGTAAGGAATGTGATTCCTTCCATTCTGTTGATTTATATTCCTTCACTAGGGGCTGTTTTTATTTCATGTAAACTTTACAACATTCCATTATTTTAATTAAATTATGGTTTTATTTTTAAACAATCTATATGAAAATTCATTCCAACCAAACATGCTCATGAAACATAATGACTCATTCCATTACCTTGATTCTTCTATTATTCATTACATCCATCCAAACAGACCCTTGGTTAAGGTTTGCATACTGTTTTTGGAAGTAACTTGAAAGGAATTGGATTCTGTCATTCGTTTGGTTAGGGCAGGAAGCGGATTGGAATTCAATAATGAAAATGGAATAATCTTTAATTTTTTTACACTTGTTGATTTCAAAACCCATATATACGTAATGAGTAGGGTATTTTGGTTTTTTATATAAAAAAAAAAGAATGAAATTGAATTTCTGAATGGTGAGGCTCATCAAACATGGAATCTGAATTCTGTTCATTTGGCAACCAAACCAAACATTCACCATGAATGAAATCTTGAATTCCATTTCCATGAACCAAACATATTCCTATAAAAAAAGAAAAAATCACATTTATAATGAATTTTGACCCTGCAGCCCAGAAGTGGTTAATTGCTCGGCAAGAACAGGATTAGATATGCTAGCAAAGCACTACACAGACGCAATCGGTTTCGATATCGTTTTCTTCTTGCCGGATAGTGAAGAAGACTTTGCTTCATATACAGAATTCGTACGTTATTTAGGTGACAGAAACCGGGCCGGGGTTGCTAAATTCGATGACGGAACTACCCTTTTCCTGGTCCCACCTTCCGATTTCCTTTCCAATGTTTTAAACGTTTCCGGCCCCGAACGTCTCTATGGAGTTATCCTCAAGTTCCCCCAACCACCACCACCTCAATACATCGATAAGCAGCAGATCCCTCCTCAAAATGACTACAATGTAAACATGCCAGGTGGCGGGGAGAAGCTGCTCCAAATTGATTATAGCGGTGTCCCACTCCCACATGAAGACTTAAAGTCACCCGCTCCTCCACCACAACCACAACCACAACCGTTATCTAGATCTACGCCGCCCAGGCTCTCTTTAACACCTGAACTTATCGCGACTCTCGCTTCTTTGGCCAAAGGAAAGTTTAATGGTGGCCAACAGCAACCTTCCGCCACGTCAGCATCAGCATCAGCATCAGCATCAGCATCAGAGAGACCATGGGAATATGAACCTGAACCTAGTGGACGTTTAATGCAACAAGCTCATGCTCAGCCACAAGTTCCACCGGGTTACGGAGGTCAAGATGTGAATTTCACCATGCCACAAGGGCAATCTGGTCAATTTGCAGTTCCAAGCCAGCAGCAATATGTACCCAACTTCCCGTATGGATTTGAGCAGAAGCCGGATGCTTTAAGTCAGGTTTATGGTGGTGGTGGTAACGTTTATCAGCCACAAAGTATGGGAGGTGAACAAAAGACGGATGGGCCCTTGGGAAGTCAGATTTATGGTGGTAATGTTTACCAACCACAAAATATGGGAGGAGGTGAGAACTCTGGTGGTGGTGGTGGTGTGCAGCTACCGGAGCAAATGCAGCAGCTTCAGTCTGCACTATATGCAGCGAGTCAACAGCAACCGGTGGCTGATTTTGATGCCGATAAAAACGAGAGATATCAGTCAACACTGCAGTTTGCTACCAATCTCCTCCTCAAAATACATCAGCAGCAGCCGGGGCAAGGTAGTGGTGCTGGTGGTTCTCTTCACTGAGACTCAGGTATTATTATCAATCCCATATATATATATATATA